TGTTCTTTTAGATTTATTGATAGTAAGTTATTGTCTCGTGGTCACATGACTTGTTAAGCATTCCCTGAATCCCTCATAAAGCTCTACCTTGCTAGAATTTTCTGGGAAATTAATTCCGGCTGATGATAATCATGTGATGATCGTATCCTTTCTTGAGTTCGATGTCGGTACTTGTTCAATTCGACGCTTGTGGTAACGAGCACCATCCATATGAATATCAACAGGTCATAACGCTCTGCAATATTCGCACAGAATTTATCAAAAAGATCTTCAAAAATTTCAGCTATAAAATTGCCGTGGTAATCAACCTGGTTTGCTACGATATTGAAATTTCGTACAACATCGAAAATATTATTCCAACCATCAGCATTTGCTTACTTTCTTCCTTTTGATAATGGTGATTTTATAGATGGATCCCACAAATATAGTGAATTAAGAATAATTTCACTATTAAGTTTATTAGTGTTACAATTACACATTACAATTATTGCGCCAAACATTACAATTAAAGGACCACGACCAGGAGAATATACAACTCCATGACTCAGCACCCAAATACGATCAGTTGTATGATTCAAATGACAGAACGACTCATCCAAAAAAACTTCAGGTCTAGTTGAAACTTTATTTTTTCCTTGTAAATTTTCAAATCTATGTCTCAAATAATGATTACGAAAACTAACATTTTCTTGTGATTCATGTAACATATTCCAACATTCACCACGACCGTAATAATATCTCAACGCATGCAACACATGAAGTAACTGCCACTTTGAAAGGGTAAACCCTTTTTTTTCAAGCTTTTGACGTAATACTGGTATGGATAGTGAAGTATCAGAACCATTTGTAGCAAGAATAAGACCATGTAAAAGTTCAACAAAATTACTATCCATCCTTTTTTTTGGCTGGCCTTGAGTTTTAGGTGGTGGTGAAGATCCTTCACTGTTGCCTTTATTATACTCAGCAACCACATGTGCAACCATTGCCTCTCCAATTCCAAGAACCTCAGCAACTTCCTTGCATAGTGGTAAGACTTGGCGTTGCTGCTGGCATTGTTGGTTAGCTAAAAAGTACTGATGAACACGAAGGATCATCTTCTTTTCATTGCTGGTCAAGAAACTTCTGTCTCGATCCAACTCATCCATGAGAAAAAAAAAATAATGCTCGTGAGAAAAATCTAAAATTCAAAACGATCCTAACCTTTTATATAAATTTTATACTCACCTGACTTGATTTCTGGGTTTTGCATCATAAGAGAAATTTAGGTAACGATCTTCGTGTATCAACCTTTTTGCACCGGACCATATTAAAATTTTTAATATCGAAAAAAGGTACCATTTATGAGTAAAATAAAAAAAAAAATAAAAGGATACACCCAGAATTGCGGGAAATAATGCGATCTAAGTAAAAATTTTTTTTTGTTGCACTAATCTCTATAGCAGGGTTGACCAATGGATCAAAAATACGGCTTAGTAACTATAAATGGACTATGACCATTGACCCAATGGACAATATCCATTGGTATTTTTTTCAGAACACCATTGCCAGCCCTACCTACTAGTTCTGGAAAAGAAATTCTCTCTTAAATTTAAATCGTCGAAAATCTGTGATGTAGAGGTTTTTTTGTAAGCAAACTATAGTTTCGAGAAAGAACAGCAAGTTCTTGTACTGGAGATGCAGGAGAGACTGGTTGGAGTGTGATTCGGGTATTATCGGCGCACTTATCAAAATAATATAAGCTATTATGAAAGGCTGCGATCCAGCGTCAGGAGTCACCCTCCATGATTACCTTTTCAACCGATGAGATACACCTCTACATGGTGTTTGGACAAGTAGTATCTCAAACTTAGTTTACCGTTTTTAATAATATAGGTTTATATATGATAGTTGACACCCGACTGAAGTTGCAACTTTAGTTGAATGAAGTTACACCTGCCTAAAACTACTAACTAGTGTGTGCAAGATGATCTAATTTCAGAAGCTAATTTCAGTCAAGTGAAACTTCAGTTAACTGAAGCTGCAACTTCGACTTCAGTGATAAACTTCTAAAATTATTTGTCTTATTTAATACTAGGAAAATAATCAATGTTGATGATTCGATTTTTGAACTATATATTTAATTTTCGAATCATAATTATAGGGATGTTAATCGGTCCTTTGGGATCGAATCCTAACCGATCCTGGCAGTTCCTTTCAAGGATCGGTAAGGACTCGGTCCTTAAAACATAATATATTTGTATAGGATTTAGATCCTGGATTGAATTATTTAATAAAAATACAGAATTAAATTGGATGAGATCCAATTCAGGATCTAAATCCTATATAAATGTCATGTGATTTAAGGATTTGAGGTCCTAGGACCGGATCGGACCGGACTCGTAAATTAACATCCCTACACAATTAAATTTCTATTATGCAAAACTAAATTTTAATAACATTCTATTTTTTAACCTTAGTGTAAGGTTTAAAAATAATTTCATTGTTATCGTTATACATGAAAGCTAAATTATTTTTGGTTTAAGTCCTGATGCAAAGACAATTAAATTTACCACGAATCATTGATCGTCCTTTCTGCTCAATTGTCTTTCTTTTTTTTATTTTTTATAAGCACATTTGGACCAGTTAATTAAATTCCTTACATAAATTATAACAGATAAAAACAATTTAAGACGACCTTTTACATATTTAAAAGTGAATATGTATGTAGACGCCTGTGAAATAAATTATCGCGTGAGCACGTACGTACGTACGTACGTTGAATGAAACTATTTATAGAGTGCATAAAAAATTTATTTAGAGTGTAATGCCAAATCGTCGCGAAATAAAATTTCCGGGTACTATCTCGAGACATAATTAAAGAGGACTATAGCTGAAGATTTTTAATAAATAAATTATTGTTCGTGTTCAGCTAAAATTGTATTTTGAAATAGCATTCCGGGATGGTGAAATAATTTCACCACTATTGGTGAAATTTGGTGAAATTTGGTGAAATTAATTTTACCAGCATTTCCGGAAGTTTTAACTCAGCAACTCTTTCAATTTTATACAGAGATGGATCGGTTCTGAAAAAACCGAATAAGAACCGGTCTTTTTAACCAGTTCAGACTAGGATTAGAAATAGACTAGGATTAGAAATAGACTAGGAAACTCATATTTGAAAGTAAGTGTCATTGATAATTTTTCTAGTCCATTTCCCATTTAGGCATGCCTCTACATATATATATATATATATATAATTAAATATATATTATATAACGACCTCTTAAATTGCAAGATTAGTTTTAAGAGTTAAGAATCAAATTATCTCAAAACTTTATTAACGTTAATGACTGATTATTTTGCTGTAAATAGAGAATTTTGAAGATTGCCCTGTAAAAAATTGAGAACCTCTATAACGAAATAACGATAATAAACGTTTAATAATACATACTACATCATATATTTATAAAGTACAAAAATAAATTGATACGTACTCAAAATATTTAGATCAATAATAATATGATAAAAAAAGGAATGTACATATAATTCTTATACTAATACAGGTTGTTAATTTTAAATAAAATTAATCTTTTTTTAAAAAAATGCCTACATGTTTTCTTTTTAAAAAAAAAATCTTAATCTAATTGATACGTAACCCTTTCTTTATTGCCCAGATGAATACTAATTATATTTTACCAGAACTTGAATTCAATTAAATATAGGCAAATTATTAATGGCAAAATGCATGAATGAATCCGATGAACAAAATTGGATTGACGCATAATCCATTTTTTTTATGAATGGTAAAAATGTAAATGAACAAATTTTTTGTCTGATTTACAAAGTATAAACAACCATTTACTAGACATTAGTAGAAATTCCCCTCGGAGGCTTCTCCAGATATTCTCTAGAATATCTATCCTCAAAAGATGAAGAATTGGAAGGTTGATTTTCCAGTTTCCTGTGTTTAATCTTTTCATCGAGTTCGTCACGATATCGATAGACAATAGCGGCAAAGTAGAACTATTAAATAAAGAATAGGTGAGTAAAATTAAAGAATTTAAAGTCATCGGCAAAGAAAACATGAAAATACGAACCGTGAGTATAATCGCGATTGCGGTGAAAACAATGAAGAAGGCGAGGTACCACTTAACGGCAGTTTCACAAATAATTCTAGTATGGTCAGTAGTAGCATTTTGGTCCGGATTGTCGGCTCGTTTGTCAAATGGTCTCAACCAATGTTGTGACGGATCCCATGTATCATTTGAGGAAGCTTTTTGAAGACATAAGTTCACAAGAGTGTCACGGTTCTTAAGGCCCACAATTGTGAGTCCAATACCAAATACCAAGTGAATCATTGCGGTCACGCTAATAATAACTGCGAAAAGTTGGACCATATTCTTATTTTGCTGTTGAACATGCGGTACACAAAATATCAAGAATTAATTGGGAATAAAATGGGATCTTGAAATTAATGAAGTCAAATTACCGCGATCGCTCCGTATAAACCTCCAAGACAAACAAATCCTTTAATAACATGCCAGATTCCATTGATGTAACCGATACTTGTGGTGAATGCAGTAGAATCTGAAGAAAAAACGTAAGAAGTTAATAATGAGGGATTCAGGGAATGCTTAACAAGTCATGTGACCACGAGACAATAACTTACTATCAATAAATCTAAAAGAACA